AGAATAATAATAAAATTATTCCTAAGACGCCATCTCGTGTCATGAAATATAGATTATGAAATTAATATGTTCAGATGCGACATTTCTGTGGGTACTAAGTATAGGACGAATATATTATTATACGCGTTTTTTTTTTGTAGAAACATTTATGAGTTATTATAATTAGGCTAAATTTTTCATGTTTAAATATGCTTATTATTCTTTTATTTTATTTTTAGGTTTCCACATCAAAGTCAAAGGGGAATAAATTCGTCCATTTTTAACTCTCGCGTGCACAGTATTTATGAACGACTCTTATTCAAAATTAAATAAATATATTTGTAATTTAAATGTTATGGTAACAAGTTTTGTTAAACACACATTTAGTGTGTTTTTTATATTTTACATAGATACCTTTTAAAATATTCAGATAAAAATATCACTAAAACGTAACTGTGATATATTATGTAATATTATATTAAAGAAGCAATTATAATATACAAAATAAATGACAGAATTTAAATATTGTTCTCGATATAATTTACCTATTTAACAATAGTTATTAATCTACTATTACCTACGGATCATTCTACCTAGGTTTATTCTATGATAAAAAAACCAACCGCGCGAACACAGAGTAGCGCACATTTTTTGTTTGAGATAGCTGTTCTAGTACGTAAGTACATATTACTTCAATGAATGAAATGAATGATTTTATTCAACATAGATTATTATAAAATACTTATTGAAAGTCATTTTTAATTTATCACTGGTTTGCAAAAAAAACGTCTGTCCTGCGAACCAGCAAGAAACCCAGCGGGAATTTTTTTTAAACATATTTAAATTTACAATAAATTTATTTTGTTAAAAGTTTTGTATGATTTTTATAGAACCAGCGTGGTGGCGATCATCTCATTCCCAGGCGTTATTTTCATTCATGTATTCATTTATATTATAATAACCCTTTTTGTACAATTTTTCTTAAATAAAACATTTAAACTTGTTTAATGATAAATTTTGTACATTTTCTGGGATTTTGCTGTAAAAGCATATACATTGCCCTATAAATAAATTACTAATTCTGTGGAGTCTAGTAACTGGTATTACAACTACCACCTATTTTTGTAAATAAAACGGCTTGATGGATTTTAACACATCATCCGAAGCTGGAAGCTTCAGAAAGCGGATACTAGGGACAAATATCACACGAGGGTAGCCGAAAAGCTTGACACCATCGATGGCAGGAAAGAATGTGTGGAGAGAACATGGCAGAACCTTAGGGATGGAATGGTAAGTGCAGCGGAAGAAGTATGTGGTACGACAAAAAGAGGTAGTTGTAAAAGAAGAGATGCATGGTGGAATGATGAAGTGAGAGAAGCTGTAAAAAAGAAGAAAAAAGCATGGTTAGACTACTTGGCCTCTAGTAACGATGAGCATATGAGAGAGAAGATGAAAGAAAGATATAAGCTGCAGAAAGTTCATGCGAAAACATTGATTGAGGAAGTACGTGAAAGGTGTAGAATAGAAGCGGACGAGAGGTTGTTGCACAACTTTAGGGAAAACTCCAAACTCTTCTGGAAAGAGGTTGGAAGGTCCCGGAGTGGTGCGACAGCCTTAAGAATGAACAAAGTGCTTTCGAGAACCAATGACGTCCTCTCAGAAAAATCGGACGTCATGCAGCGATGGAGTGAATTTGATAGAGAAATGTATGCGTGTCATGATCTTAGTGAAGGATCCGGGGGTGACGCCGTGACTGGCATGCCAGACACGGACCTCGATGACACTGAGGTCATCAGCATGAAAGAGATTGAACGTGCGATTCGAAGTTTGAAATGTGGTAAGGCTGCGGGACTAGACAGAGTTACTGCTGAAATGGTCAAGTACGGTGGGCCTCGCGTCTGGGACAGCTTCCATCTGCTGTGCAATTTGTGCTGGCGGACGGGAGATGTCCCGGATGATTGGCGATCTGCGGTCATTGTGCCTTTATATAAAGGTAAAGGTTCACATTTTGACTGCTGGTGCTATCGGGCGATCAGCTTGACCAGTTTAGCAAGTAAAGTTTACTCGAAGGTTTAGACACGTAGGATGCAAGAAAAATCGGAAAGATTCTTATGGGAGGCACAATGCGGATTTAGACCTGGAAGAGGATGCACGGATCAAATGTTTTCTCTCCGCATGATCACGGAGAAGCTTCTGAGTGTTAACCAGAGGATTTTCTGTGCTTTTGTGGATCTGGAGAAAGCATTTGATAAGGTTATAAGGAAGAAAATGTGGGAACTGTTGCCGGGATATGGTGTGGATGGTCGATTGTTAAGGGCTGTGCAGTCACTTTACTATGACTGTAAAGCCTGTGTGCGGGTAGGGCATGACCTGTCACCCATGTTTAGCGTCCAAGCGGGCGTAAAACAGGGTTGTGTCATGCCTTCCTGGCTGTTCATACTGTATCTCGACAGCTGTTTACAGAAGCTGAAAAATAGCTGTTTGGGTGGGAAATTGGGTGACATAAAAGTTAATGGTATGCTGTATGCTGATGATGCAGTGTTTATTGCACCATCAGAAGCAGAACTGCAGGCATTAGTCACGTGTATGAAAGAGGAATGTGAAATTAAAGGTCTCCGTTTGAATGATAATAAAACTAAGGTTCTGGTATTTGAAAAGGACGAAGAGAGAACGAAATGTGAAATATGGGTAAATCAGGAATGTCTAGAACAGGTAAATGAAATTGTATACTTGGGGAGTGTTTTCAGCCGGGATGGAAGATGTGATTTAGATGTGGATAGGCGTGTCGCTGCCGGAAACAAAGTCAATGGTGCCCTGAATGCATTAGTAAAAAGGCAAGGCGTGGTGAAGAGTGCACGCCTTGCAATACATAACGCAGTGTTGGTACAGACTTTGTTATATGGCAGCGAAACCTGGGTATGCCAGAAGAAGCATAAAAGCAAGTTGAATGCAGTGGAGATGCGATCTCTTCGTAAAATGTGTGGCGTTACCATAGCCGACCGAAAGCGAAACGAAGAGATTCGCAATATGGCAGGATTGAAAGATGACCTTATCACAAAAATTGATAGGGGCGTACTCCAATGGTTTGGGCACGTTGAACGAATGAGTGAAGACCGAATGGTGAAGAAAATATATAGAGCGAAAGTAAATATTAAAAGGTGTCGAGGTAGACCGAGACTAACTTTCGAAGACCATGTGAGCAAATTGCTCGAAGAGGGGAGGGTCAAGAGTACTCGGATACCTAGACGTGCATGTATGAAGAAGTTAATGAACCTGAAAGAAGCGAAAGAGGTATGTAAGGATCGTGACACTTGGCGATCTGTTCTCTCTGGCTACCCCGTTAGGGATTGTGCGTGAAGATAAGTAAAGTAAAAGTAAGTAAGTATATTAGTTGGTAGTAGAATTAAGATTATAACAGCGTGAACGTCAGATACTTTAGAACGAAAAACTCAGATAATTTACGTATTAACCATTTTCTGTTTCACATTTATTGCTATTTGCAAACATGCGACTCGCAACGACATTATTGATGAAAGAGTAGCAATGAGAAGTGCAACTATTTTCTATCTCTTTCTTTTATTGACCAAGTAAATGTTTAATAACCACTATATGCTGATCTTGCATTATTAGGCAGTCACTAGCACTGGGATGTCTACTTACACTGAAAGACTTTTTAAGGTCATTAACAATATACGCAAACAAATCAAAAACTGCGAAGCTGTGGTCGGGTCGATAATCAAATAATAAATCTGTAACTATGGCATCAGTAACTAGATACCTAATTATCTAGATCTACCTATAAATAACAGTCTTTTTTTATAGGATAGGGTGACAAACGAGCACACAGTCCACCTGATGGTAAGTGGTTGCTGCAGCTCATAAACATCTACATCTATCCTCGATTACGAATCAAAATGCAGATGCGTAGTCTCCCGTGAGGACTAAGATGGAATGCCTCGTTTCCAATAAAAAGGGTCTCCGGTTCTCTAGACTCACCATACGAAACACAGTAGCATTAAGCTACTATTTGACGCTGGTATTCTGTGAGAGCGTGGTCCTTCCCCGGTCGAGCCGACCCATTCGTGCTACAACTATATTTGTAATATAACTGCAGCATGGCTCTACCACGTATAAGACTTAACTTTCAGTATCCTTTGGAACAGTAATGAATAAAAAGTTAACATTCCTATTGTTATTTAAGTACCCGAATTTTATGTAGTACATTTTATGGCTATTTGAGTCATTTCATTGAGGCCATACTTGAATAAAACTCAAAAATAATATCAAAAGTGCCCAAATACTTATGAGAGAAAAATACTTTTTTTTTTAACGTAAGGCGCGCGTCAGCTCGAACGCGCGAGCATAAGTACTATTATTTGTTCTGTAGCGCGAGTGACAACCACACGTAGTTAGCCTGTTGTAGGCGGCCGCGCAACGTGGGTATATTGTCATGTCTAAAGCGCGGAGTGAGACAGGCCTTCTACAAACTACAATAGTGAGTAAGCATGCACTAAGTTTGCCAAACCTAGCGTGAACGTAATTGATAAAGATCATAATGATTTTTTAAATTTACGCGAACACTACACATTGAATAAAACTAAATTTACGGATATACCTTCAGTTTTTTAATATTAATAGCGTAGATCGAACCGAAAAAATTAATATTAAAAAACTGAAAGTTTCCAGGCTAATTATGACATTGGGACGTCAAACATCTCAGTCCCCCTCGTGACCATGGTTGCTGTAAAGCACCCGAAACGTCGGGAATTAAAAATAAATAAATGTTTATTTTAAATAAAGGCGATATCCTTAAATTTAGTGTCAATGATAAAGATCAGTTACAAAGTAAAATAGATTATTATGTAATAAAAATATATTAATAAAAATATAAAAATAAACATCACATTTACAATTTATTCGTGCGATTTTTGCTTCATCTTCATTTTTGTGATTGGATTTGTCCAAATCACAATAATAAATTACATTTATTTAAAACCATGTACAATTTTTCAAAAAAAAAATTACAATTCTGATCTTGGCAAAAGATTCTTCACCATAGCTTTAAACACTTGAATACCCCTCCCGTTGGCTTCCTCGTAATCAGGAGCTGTTTTCTTCACTAACTCGAACCAACTGAAAATATTAATATTAAGGATTTAATATTTGGTAATTTCGTCTACAAGTACAATGTTTAAAAATATTGATATTAAGGATTTAATATTTGGTAATTTCGTCTACAAGTAAAATGTTTAAAAAATATTGATATTAAGGATTTAATATTTGGTAATTTCGTCTACAAGTAAAATGTTTAAAAAATATTTGGCGTGAAAATGTCTTTAAATTTGCTTCCATAGCGGCAGGAAATTTAGAAAAATGATGATAACAAAATTGGGGGATACAGTTAGGTGTTGCAGTTACATATCTATCATCTACATTCAAAATTTAATCACACCAATCGATAGCTATTCGGTATTTGGCCTATTCGGTGACTTTTATCCTATTCGGTCGAATACCGAATGTCTAGGTACTATTCGGCCGAATACCGAATACTTAAATAAGAGGTTTTATTGTAGTCAGGAAATTGGTAAAACGAAAACATTTATTTAAGTTCAAAGTTACAGCCTATATAACGTCCCACTGGTAGCCGCAGGCCTCCGTTCATTTTTATGATTTAGGGCAAGGAAATGTCCGCTGCATTGACTCAATACGTATTGGTGGCTCTACTGTCACTATACAAAACAGAGCATTATTATGTTGCCATTTTACGCTGTAATTCTATGAGAGTGTGGTCTTTCCTCGGTGGAGCCGATCTTATCGTGCTACAACCATAATATAGCAGCATCACGACTCTAACATTTAATCTTATTTTTCAATTTATCTTACCGCTCGACGTTAGGGTACTCGTGAAGGCTGATGCCAGCAGCGTCTATAGTGGATACTGTGGCCACAAGGCTGAGGTCAGCGAGGGTCAGTTCATTCCCAGCCGCGTACTTGTTACCCTCCAGGAAAGTGTTGAGAAACTTCAAACCTTCCTGCAGCTTTCCATGTAAAGCTTTGTCTGCAGACGCGCCGGCGAAGATTTGTGGGTACTAAACAAGTAGACAAAGGGTTAAATTTGGCACTAAATTGTGTATTTTTAAAACATATGTCATGTTTCAAATTCAAATTCACACCTGCCACAGCGGCCAGACTCAATAGAGAATAGTCATCTGCGCAGGACACGATTACAGTGCACAAGTGTATGCGCAAGCACAGGTGCACTCTCTATTCCCTCACTCTCATAGTAAAATAGGACGGTAATCCGACACGAACGGAGAGAGATCAGGCGCATCCAACGGTTTCACGTGCTTTCCGAGGCAAGAGATTCAAACACTACCATCAGCAGCAGAGAATTTCTTGACAGAGAAACTTAGTATCCGATTGTTACTGGCCCGACCCGATAATCAAATCTGGGACCTTATTGACCACCACCAGCCTAACGACTACGAGCACACAATCCAGCTGATATAGCATACACATCTACATTTATCCTCGATTAAGAATCAAAACGCAGATGCGTTGTCACCCCCGAAGACTGAGATGGAATGCCTCGTTTCCAGTAAAAAAGGGTCTTCGGATCTCTACATTCACCATACGAAACTAATAATGAGAAAGAAAAAATATATTTACGCTGGTATGCTGTGAGAGTGTGGTCCTTCCCCGGTCGAGCCGACCCATTCGTGCTACAACTATACCATTAATATAGCTGCAGCATGGCTCTACCACGTAAAACATAACGCTTTTACCATACGTGGACTGTGTGCTCACTTGTCATCCTTTTCCTATAAAAAATAACGCTATACAAGTAGATTTAACCCATAAATAAACTATACTTTCAACAGTAAAATTATGAAAGACATGGCATTACTCAATTTGTAAATTTCAATACAGTGGACATTTTGAGTACCACTTTTTAACGAATGTTCAATGATTTAACCGAATATTCGGCCGAATACGAATATTCGGTAAAACTGCCGAATATGCCGAATACGAATATTCGGTAAAGCTGCCGAATATGCCGAATACCGAATATATTCGGCCCATCTCTAGTAAAAACATTAATAATTTTAATAATATTGTTAGTTTTTTTTTTTTCAAAAACAAGGCACTTAACTTGAGTTAACATACTATATACAATACATACATGTGTAGATACTTACAAAGTATTCTGCGAATCTTGGGTACAGGGTCCCTATATCAAAGTCAAGTCTCTGATCTACTAAGGCCCTGACTTTAGGGTCTGTGGGATATAACGAACTGTCGACACCATACGTATTCACTAAGTATCTGCTTATTGCCCGGGACTCCCATAACGAGAAACCGTCGTCCACAATCGTCGGAACAGTATGCTGCGGGTTAAGCTGGAAGTGTTACATTGTTTTTTATTTTAATTGTTAATAAAAATATTTACGAAAAATATTCGTCTTAAACTAGCAATTCGCTCCAGTTTTGCGCGGGTGAATTTTGGTGCTCCACAACAGCGCCATCTACCGGGTCGAATTTAATCCAAACCAAATTAATCACAAACACAAAACAAATGTGTGTGTGTGTGTGTGTGTGTGTGTGTGTGTGTGTGTGTGTGTGTGTGTGTGTGTGTGTGTGTGTGTGTGAGTGTGTGAGTGTTTGTGTGTGTGTGTGTGTGTGCATGTATAAAGCCATGTAACTTTGTGTCAACCACTATACATGGAGTTTCTCTAAAATTAGTATCTGCAGACACGTGTACCGACCATAGAATACTATAATACACAAATAGAATGGCTGTCAACCTTATTTTGTAAAGGGAATGGGCGTCGCCGGGAGCACACATACAAGCAATTACGTCGTATTATCACTACTACAAACCCGATTCGCTGTGTTGACAGGCTGAGCGAATTTACACATTTTAGACTTTTGATTAATGTTTAAGATCATCTTTAAAAAATAAATCGTTTAAATTTTAATACATATCTATTTGTAAATAGTGTGCAAATTAATCGAAAATTGGAAACGATTGTATCGTCAAAAGAGGTGTGTTGACATTTATAGTTGTGAATTGACGTGTTAGTGGCTACACGGGCTTCGCCCACTTCCCCGTTCTATTATATATGTATTATAGTATTCTATGTGTATCGACCGTTCAATTCTAGTGACCTGGGAGTTCAAGTATTGATTTGAAGGAACCGGGTCATTTGCGTTGATCATTCAAATGGGTCATTCCAGATTTTCCTACTCTGAGATCTAAGAGATGCGCCCATTTGTATCATTCGTTCATTCATTCATTAAAGCTCTTCACAAGTCCACTGCAGTGATGACTTATGGATCTGAGATGTGGTCCTTCACTGCTAGCTGTATGAGGAAGCTCATGGTAACTTAGCGAGCTATGAAGAGGGCAACGCTCGAAATATCTCCGCGTGATAAGACTTAAAAATAGGGATATCCACAGTAGAACCAAAATAAGCGACATAGCCAGGCAGATAAGTAGGCTGAAGTTGCAATGGGCCAACCACATAGTTCTAAGAACCGACAACCGAAGGCTTATATGCAAGTAAATTGTAAGGCGGCACTCCAATAAATGGAGTGACGAGCTGGTAAGACATGCAGAAAGTCAGTGGGCATGGCTCAGGATCGTATTTTGTGGCATTCCTTGGAGGCATATATTCAGCAGTGGACTTGTGAAGAACTGTAATGTAGCGACGCTAATACAGTCTTAGAAATGAGACATTTTATCTTAGTCCTCTGGAGTGACAGCGCCCTATGGACGTGTACGTGTATGGGCCGCAGCATCCGCTTACCATCAGATGGACTATGTACCGTTTGTCATCCCCATTCTATAAAAAAGTCTAGTAAAACAATGAAACATACCTTTAAAAATTCAGGTTGTAATTGTTCACCGCCTCTAAGATTTACTACATGCGGGTTCAGCTGGATATTGAGTGCAGCCGCCACCAAAAGCACTACGCGGCAAGGTGCCGAACTCGGCGTGTAATACAGATCTATCGCCATGTTGTCTTCTATAAAATAAAGAAACAATGCAATATTATTTCAAATTCAGATGCAATTAGGTATAAAGGTTGAAGATTGTGTGGTTGGGATTGTGACTGTGGTCCCATTTACCACTGAGTCATAACATAAGAGACCATGGTAGTTGTTTTGAGGTATTTCATCATCACAATCAATGGGGTCGGTGCATAGCGCAACCGGTTTTATTTATCACAACCTTTTATTATTTACAACACAATTTTTTATTGCTATCTCCTCTAAACTAGTCCAAATTTGAAAAAACTTAGCACATTATACATGGTATGAACAGTGCATTGATTAATTTTTGTGTCATGTGACTGTGGTAGGAAAAGGGGAGATCTCCCGCCGGGCAAGGTGTTCTGCCCGGGGAGCGGCCGACACTCCGTGTGATAGTTCGGAGATGTTCTATATATGCTGTTTATGATTCGGAATGTTGATAGCGTGATTTAAGCTTCGGTGTGTTTCGCTTGCGGCGCGACGACAGCGCCGCCACATCACCCCCTGCTCAGACCAGAGGTCGATAGTGCAGTCCGATTGCCGGTGTGTCCTTTTAATGCCGGTGGGGAATGCATGCTGTGTGCGTAAGGGCAAGTGACATCGGTGCGAATGATATGCCGATGTGTAATGCAGCCGTACTACGCACTGGCAAGTGATGCCGGTGAGAACGATGTGCCGGAGCAAGTGCCAGAAGTCTGCCTTATAAATCTGCGGTGAGTCAAGACGAAGACAAGTTGGACTGGCTTGCAGGAACTGAATACTGCAGAAGACGATTCTCAATAGTGAATGGTAGGGGTTCTTGAGGATAATGACGAAAGCTTGAAGTTGTAGTTTCCGAAGGTGTTTGGTTGCGTGTTCAGATCACGTCGGTTAGTCACCACTGTGGCCGTGGTAGGAAAAGGGGAGATCTCCCGCCGGGCAAGGTGTTCTGCCCGGGGAACGGCCGACACTCCATGTGATAGTTCGGAGATGTTCTATATATGCTGTTTATGTGTAAGTGTTACTGTGTTTCTGTGTGTATATATGAGGTGTGTTTAATAATGTGGTGAAATCCCCACATCACTCCCCCCCAGAGGCCGTGCCTACGGTCGATAAAAATCAGGAAATCTGACATGCCTACCGGACCTTGTAGTTTTCCGGTTTTCTAAACTGTCGTCCATGACTTTGGGGCTGCAATCAGGAGTGACGTCGCAAGGCGGATCGGTGTTCAGCATATAGGCCGGTTTTAGACGGTCTATAGAAACTGTTATCTGTTTACCTTTAACGATGATCTTAAATACTTTATCACCTCTTTCTGTCACTTCATGTGGACCGGAATATGCAGGATGGAAGGTGCTTTTCAGCCGGTCTTCCCTAAGGAATACGTGGCTGGAATTAGCGAGATCCTTATATATAAATATTTTATTTTTATTATGCCGTGATGCGGGACGAGGCTGCAGTTTCTCACAAACTGAACAAATTCGTGCAGTAAAATCCATAATGTCAGTTGTGGTGCTTACTGTGCTTTCGAAAAATTCGCCTGGGAGTCTTAAAGGCTCGCCGTAGACGAGTTCTGCTGAGGAACACTGCAGATCAGCTTTAAATGCGCTTCTGATGCCCAATAGTACTAGAGGTAAAGATTCCGTCCAGTTGCTATCAGCGTGACATGTAATAGCTGTCTTCAGCTGTCGGTGGAATCTTTCCACTAGGCCATTAGAAGCGGGATGGTAAGCTGTGGTTCTGTGGTGTTTGAATCCGATTATTTTCGATAGATAATTAAATAAATCGGATTCGAACTGCCGTCCACGGTCCGTCACTATGTCAGTTGAACAACCAAATCTGGCGATCCAACCTGATAGGAGTGCCTTCGCTACTGTGGCCGTAGAAGGAAAAGGGGAGATCTCCCGCCGGACAAGGTGTTATGCCCGGGGAACGGCCGACACTCCCATGTGATAGTTCGGAGATATTCTATATATGCTGTTTATGATTCGGAATGTTGATAGCGTGATTTAAGCTTCGGTGTGTTTCGCTTGCGGCGCGACGACAGCGCCGCCACAGTCATTAGCTTTTTCTTTGATTTAAAAGCCGTGGTAGCTCAGATGGTTAACGCTCGCTGTAAATATTACAGACGCGAGTAACCCAGGTTCGATCCCCGCCGGCACCAATGAAATTTTTATTGCAATTTTAAGTGCTGATTTACCACGTGCTCGGCGATGAAGGAAAACATCGTGAGGAAACCTCCATGTCTAAGGAATAAGAGAAAAAAAATATTTCGAAGACATGTGAAGTTCGCCAACACGCATTGGGGCAGCGCGGTGAACACTTCCTTGCCCTAAAACCCTCTCAGAAATGAGGGGAGGCCTGTGCCCAGCAGTGGGACGTACATAGACTGAAACTTTACTTAACTTTTACTTGATTTAAAAGCGATATTTTAGCCCTTCTAATTCATAATCCATCATAGCATACCTACCTTTATATACACACAAAGAGTGTGCACTACGTTTTCTATACATTGACAAAACATTTTATACACTAACAGCTAATCTGAGCTGCAGCGTAGAGCCACGCTGCAGCTATTGTGGTTGTAGCATGAATCGGTCTCCTGGCGGAGGACCACACTCTCACAGAATATCAACGTAAAATAGCAGCTTAATGCTACTGTTTCGTATGGTGAGTGTAGAAAACCGGAGACCCATTTTACTGGAATCAAGCATTCCATCTTAGTCCTCAAGGGTAACAACACATCTGCATTTTGATTCTTAATCGAAGTTAAATGTAGATGTCTATGGGCCACAGCATTCACTTACCATCAGGTGCACTGTGTGCTCGTTTGTCACCCTTATCCTATAAAAAAATAATCTATTTATGATAAACACTGAAATACACACCTATTTTCGACCCTTATACTTTACAATGGCAACGCATTACTAAAGCCATCTAATTTTTGTAGTTAGGAACTTCATTTAATTTCCATAACCATATAATATAGTATATACGTAAGGTATGTAACATACATAGCTTCTGATCACATAGTTATTATTAACTAAAACCGAAAAAAAAACTCTTTATTATAATGTTCACATTATTTATTTAAAAAAAAACGCAATTTCAATAATTATATATATATATATATATTATATATATATATATATATATATATATATATATATATATATATATATATATATGTACGTATATGTACATATATATATGGAGTTTTGTAAATTTGTATTTTATTGTATATGTTAATAGAGTGCACACTTTGACTACTTCTATTTCCTTCCACTATCCTTCAATAGGTCTGCTGGAAGAAATTTCTTTATGGAATAAGCAGTGCCTTTGTACATAATTTTGTTTTTACCATTTTCCTATCAAAGTATGTGTGTACATAAACTGTTAAATAAAGAAATAAATAAACAACCTTCTCTGGCAGGTTAAAACACTGTCCCTTTTGTTTTTTTTTATTTGCTTGCCACTGTAACTGCATTAAATTTTTGCAGTAGACAATATATAACATTATCTATGAAGAGCTGAATAGAATAGCAAGTAATGTTAGTTCAACTTGGTTTTAATATTTTTATTATTATCAACTATATTGTTGCGCGGCTAAGTTGACATCTGGCACTAGCGCCATCTAGTAAGTCAGGTAACAGAGCGAGGAGAGAGCTTTCCAGAAAATGACATCACTAATCTTTCAACCGCCAGCGCCATCTGTTGTCGAAACGAAGAACTAAGCTTCTAGAAGCTGAGACTCGAATTTTCTGCGCTTGGTCGGTTGGCGCGCGTATTTACTTGAATATTCTGGAATATTCTGGATGTTTTCGTGGAAGAGCCCTATATAAAGGCGCTGCAATACGCGATCGGGGAAGTATTGAATTTGGCGAGACAAGCGAAGCTTCGGAGTGGAATAAAGTGAATCAGTGTGATTAATTATTAGTATTTTAAGTTTTAATTTGTGTAAAGAAAATTAAAGTGTTAATTTATGTAATTCTATCGGCAATTTTTATTGTCACGAGCCTCAAGCTCGTAACAATTGGTGTCAGGAAGTGGGATAAAATCATGCCGATTTTACCTAAGGAGGAAACGGAGGGTGTCCGTACCCGAAGTCAACGCCAGCAGGAGACGGACCAAAGAAGATTTGGTGGTGCAACGCCGCAGAAGTCGGAGGGCCAGCCGCCGGCTGCAGGCCCGTCAGTAGCTCCTACATCTGCAGCACCTGACTTAGGTGCTCTGATGATGATGCTGCAGGAGCAGGCTCGCCGACAGGAGGAGCAGGCCCGTTGGTTGAAAGAGCAACAGGAGGAACAGGCTCGCCGAAAGGAGGAGCAGACTCGTTGGTTGAAAGAGCAGCAGGAGGAACAGGCTCGCCGATAGGATGAACAGGCTGGCCGACAGGAGGAACAGGCCCGCCGACAGGAGGAACAGGCCCGTCGGTTGGAAGAGCAGTTCAAGCGCGATAAGGAAGAGCAGATGCTCCTCATGAAGGACATTCACGCTACCTTCGGAAAAGAGATAAGGGAGGTGAAGGATAAGGTTGCTCAACATGACAACCGCCTGTCGGAGGCTGAAACCCGAATCGACCAAGTGAACAATCGGGTTGACAACGTATTGTCTGATATAAAGAAATCACTGCACGAACTCAAACTTGGGGATGGAACTACAGCTCCCGTAGTAGCTACTACACCTTCGCTACGTGGGTTCAAGGTGCCACCGTTCGACGGGACTTCTTCCTGGTCAGCCTACAAAATCGAGTTCGAGGCTGTTATGAAGGCAAACGGCTGGAATAAAAGTCAGGCCATGACTGCTCTCACACTAGGCCTGCGCGACCAGGCCTTAACAGTTCTGGAAGCCCTCGGTGAGGAAGTGACTTATGAGCAAGAGGCATTGGAGGCGAATTATGGCGACGCTCACCTGGAACACGTCTTTCGTGCGCAGCTTAAAGATCGCGTGCAGCGCATCAATGAAAACCTGAAGCAGTGGGCTCTAGAGGTGGAGAAGCTGGTGCGAAAAGCATACCGGTCTGTACCTGCGCTCATTGAAGGAAACCTGGTGCAGACATTCATCGACGGCATCCGTGACCTGGAAGTCAGAGCTTCTGTGAGGCTCGGGCACCATGAGACGCTTAAGGACGCCTTGGCCCATGCACTGGAGGTGGAAGCCGTGCGGCAGGATCATCTTTCCCATCGCGTCAGGGAGGTTGCAGTAGCTACAGTTCTCGACCGCAACAAAGAATACAGCCCTAGGTGCTATGGCTGTGGGGAAAAGGGCCATCTTCGATCCAGCGATCCCTATAAAGGGAAGGTGAACGATCTCAGGAGGGTAGTGCGGCCAACAGCACCGCCCAGCAGCAGCAGGGAAACGAGTAAAAGCCAGAACTGCGGGGCGGGTGCTGGCTGATGTTAAAAGAGCCCCAAGGATCTCGATCTCACAAACCCATGATGGGAACAGTCTAATCATCAAGGGCGAGGTCAACGGAATGCCGTGTAAACTGACCATAGACACTGGAGCCTCTAGTACGGTTGTTAGTTCCCAACTTATAAGTCAGTTCCTTGGGGACTCCGCATACAACCGAGAACGCATTAATTTGGTAACAGCCACCGGTCAGCGTATATCCGTCCGTGGAGAGAAGGAGATGGAGTTGAAGCTAGGCAACGTGATCTACCTGCATAATGTCATCGTGGCTGATATAATGGACGACTGCATCCTAGGCCTAGACTTTATGAGGAATAATTGTTGTGAGATCGACGTTAATCAAGGTGTTTTGAAATGTGGACAGGAGGAACTTTTTATGGAAGGTGCGTTACCAGGGAACGTGTACAGCATTAAGAAGATTGTTCTTCCGCCGAGATCGGAAACGATTGTTCCGGTTAGTCTTACCCGAAACGATGGGCAAGCTCACCGTTGTGTACTTGTGGAAAGGGTAAACAATGAGCTTCCATGGAAAGTAGCTCGAACCTTGGTCAGAACCACTGACATCTCAGGAGTACGTGTGCTGAACCTTTGTGACCGGGAACAGATTATAGAAAAAGGCACGCTGGTTGGTACTTGTGAGGAAGTGGATTGGTTACGGCGGTGCCAATATCTATCGAGTGAGACCCCCAGCAAAGATGCACAAACGAGAGTGACCACACTTTTGGAAGACTGTCGCAGCGTTCTCTCCCTGAACGAATTGGTCAAGGCCAAGAAGTTGTTACTCAAGTACGCCGATGTATTCTCATCAAACGATGCTGACATAGGAAAGACTGGCTTAGTTCAACACAAAATAAACACAGGAGAAGAATTACCTATCCGTCAGCGGCCAAGAAGATTGCCGGTAGCACGTGAAAAGGAAGTGGAAACCATGATTGAAGGAATGGCGAAGGATGGTGTTATTGAACCTTCCTCTAGTCAATGGTGTTCACCAGTGGTGCTGGTGAAGAAGAAGGATGGCAGCATGCGGTTTTGTGTTGACTACCGCCGTCTGAACGACGTTACGAAGGTCAGCTATCCCTTGCCAAGAATTGATGACACGCTGGACATGCTTACAGAAGTAAAGTGGTTTAGCACGCTGGACATGCTTACAGGAGTAAAGTGGTTTAGCACGCTGGACCTAAAAAGTGGCTACTGGCAAGTTGAAATTGACCCTAAGGACAAGGAGAAAACTGCGTTCTCGACGGGAAAGGGTCTGTGGCAATTTAAAGTAATGCCGTTTGGGTTGTGCAATGCTCTCCAGCAACGTTTGAAAGGCTGATGGAATTTGTACTTACCGGGCTAATTGGCGATGCCTGTCTGGTCTACTTGGATGACATCATCATCGTAGGCCGGACGTTTGAGGAACACCTGGAACGCGTGCTCATGAAGATTCAGAATGCCAACCTCAAGTTGAGTCCGAAGAAATGTTCACTATTCAAACGGCAAGTTAACTTTTTGGGGTATGTAGTATCAGAAGAAGGTATCCGCACGGATCCAGAGAAAATCGCCGCTGTTAAGGATTGGCCGGTTCCAAAAGACAAGACGCAGGTTAGAGCATTTTTGGGTTTGTGCTCCTATTACCGGCGATTTGTGAAGAACTTTGCAGATATAACCAAACCTCTGCACAAGCTAACCGAGGAGAAGCGACATTTCTGCTAGGATGAAAGTTGCAATATGGCATTCCAGGAGCTCAAGGACCGTCTGTGCAAAACACCTATTTTGGGATACCCTGATGCAAGCAATGAATTTATAGTCGACACAGACGCAAGTGATATAGGACTTGGCGGTGTGTTGTCTCAACGGAATGGTGACCAAGAGGTCGTGATAGCGTACTTCAGCAAGTCGTTGTCAAAAGCGGAAAGGAACTATTGTGTCACAAGACGCGAATTGCTAGCTGTGGTAAAGTCGTTGCAGCATTTTAGCAAATATCTTCTGGGACGAAAATTTCACTTACGAACTGACCATGCTGCACTAAAATGGCTATTGCAGTTTAAAAATCCAGAAGGACAAGTTGCGAGGTGGATTGAACTACTGCAGGAATACGACTTTGAGATCGAACATCGCAGCGGAAAAACTCACGGCAACGCAGATGCATTGTCAAGAAGACCTTGTCCTGAAGATGGCAACAATTGTACTAGGCAAGAGAGTAAGGAAGAGGCGTGATGATGCTCAGGACAGACCACCTCTGCAACGAGTGGAAGGACAGCTTACTACATGCACAGCAGGAAGATCCGGACATCAAGTCGATTCTGGAATGAATAAAGGCCAGCGCTCCCAAGCCCAAGTGGAGCGATGTCTCAGCGATGAGTTCGACCACTAAAAGCTATTGGGCCCAATGGGACAGCTTGCTGCTTCAGGATGGAGTTCTGTGCCGTAAATGGGAAAATGTTCGGGGAGACAGCTGTTATTTGCAAATGGTCGTCCCTAAAGCTAGAGTACCGGATGTTCTACAGTGTACCATAATGATTGTTCAGGAGGCCATCTGGGAGTTAAACGAACTCTACTGAAGATCCGAGAACGGTTTTATTGGGTCCATGTCGAAACGATGTCGAGGACTGGTGTCGCAAATGTACAAGTTGTGCGGCTGTAAAGGGACCTCAGACTCGTAGTAGAGGGGCATTGACGTTGTACAATGTTGGTGCACCATGGGAGAGAATAGCCATTGACGTGGCGGGCCCGTTTCCGGAGAGTGAAAGCGGTAACAAGTATTTCATGGTTATGATGGATTACTAAGTGGCCAGAAGTCTTCGCCATTCCAAATCAAGAAGCTTCAACGGTTGCAGATAAACTAGTTCATGAAGTCTTCTGTCGTTTTGGAGTACCTTTAGAGATTCACAGCGATTAAGGAAGGAATTTTGAGTCTCAAATATTCCAGGAAACTTGCCGAGTTATGGGTACTCATAAAACAATAACGACTTCTTATCACCCGCAATCTGATGGAATGGTAGAACGATTTAATCAGACATTGGAGAGGTACCTAGCAAAAGTTGTAGACAATCGGCAACGAGATTGGGACAAGCACATACAGCCGTTTTTGTTGTCATATCGAAGCGCTGTTCACGAAAGTACATCAGTGACACCAGCTTTCGCAAACTTTGGGAGAGAATTACGGCTGCCTGTGGACCTGATCACCGGGATACCACCTGATGCTCCACGCAGTATAACCGATTATGCCAATGACTTGCGGAACAAAATGAATGACATTTATGAGCACGTCAGACAATCGGGCCAGCAAATGTCTGAAAAGATGAAAACCCGGTACGACCGCAAAATGAATAACAAAGGGTTCGACGAAGGTTCACTAGTGTGGTTGCACAATCCAGTCCGCAGCAAAGGGAAATCTCCTAAGCTTTAAGCTAAATGGGATGGCCCGTACCGGATTGTGACCAGGATCAACGATGTAACCTACCGGATACAGAAAGGCGCAAGAGGGACTCCTAAGATCGTCCATTTGGATCGCCTGGCGCGTTATTATGGGGCCGATAATGCTCGGGACGAGCATGTCTTAGGAGGGGGCAGTGTTGCGCGGCTAAGTTGACATCTGGCACTAGCGCCATCTAGTGTCGGGTAACAGAGCGAGGGGAGAGCTTTCCAGAAAATGACATCACTAATCTTTCAACCGACAGCGCCATCTGTTGTCGAAACGAAGAACTAAGCTTCTAGAAGCTGAGACCCGAATTTTCTGTGCTTGGTCGGTTGGCGCGCGTATTTACTCGAATATTCTGGATGTTTTCGTGGAAGAGCCCTATATAAAGGCGCTGCAATACGCGATCGGGGAAGTATTGAATTTGGCGAGACAAGCGAAGCTTCGGAGCGGAATAAAGTGAATCAGTGTGATTAATTATTGGTGTTTTAAGTTTTAATTTGTGTAAAGAAAATTAAAGTGTTAATTTAGGTAATTCTATCGGCAATTTTTATTGTCACGAACCTCAAGCTCGTAACAATATTTTACCCGCCTCTTCGTCCATGAAGAACTTCAGTTCTAATTTCGGAAAAAAACAAACTTCAGAAAAAATGCAGTTCCATAAAAGCTGCCTTCAGAAAATGATTAATGTGGCATGCAAGTTGAAAGATATAGGTACCTGATGATGATGACTGTTCTGGCACGCTCAATATTTCTTCTATAGGTTTTCTTGTGATGTCTGCAGATTTATTTGAGACTATAGCAAAAAAAAAATGATTTAGGTTGAAATTACTACAGAGAACTGTAAAACTGCAGTTATGATATATAAAAATAGGCCAAATATTTGTAATGACACGCATAAAGTATAATTCCACTGTGCAATTTATACTAGTGTTGGCAATCATTTAAATACTGTTAGCGTTACAGCACAATAAGTATGCAGTTGAACATATGCCTCCTCCACATATTGCCTCATATGGGAGATATTTGCCATAGTGGCCATGCTTGACAATTACTACAGTTTATTTTTTATTTTTAGTTATTATTAGGTTGAAGCTGCTGCCCATCTCCTGATTTATTTCCCTCCGTCGCATCTCATGATATGGGGCAGTGGATATTCTTACACTACCACTTCACAGTGATAGCCCAGTTTAAAGACAGTCTAACAGTTGCAAAACGTCTTTGATGACATGTGATGCCTCCGCTCACGTAAGAAATTACCTGGGCGGTGTATGCTAGTTGTCACGAAATTGGAAATAAAAGAATTTTGAATATTATAATACTCATTATCATTTATTAACATTATATGCATACTTATGAGTTAAAAACATTTATTGAAAAAGGTCTTTTTTTATTACTATGTAAAAAAAATTATTTACAAGCTTTGCACAAGTACATTAGTTATCCAACTGTTGGGCTATTTTTAAACTGTGAAAATAGCACATTCGCTGCCTGTCATCCATTTTCAACAATAATTTAAATAGCTGTAAATAATTAATTTTAAAACAGCAGTCAGGGAGGGTTGAATATTTATGAATACTTAACATAATGCTAAAAATTGGTTTAAGGGAACATCAGTATATCATCAAAGCGTCATCTTTCTGTCAGCAAGGAGCGCCATATTTGTAGTTAGCAACTTCGTTTAATTTTCATAACCATATAATATAATAAATAAATAAAGTATGTAACATATATAGTTTCTGATCATATAGTTTTATCGAAGTATGTGTGTACATAAACTGTTGGATAAATAAATAAATAAAAAATAGTTATTAATAACTGAAACCAAAATAAATAAAACTCTCTAACATAATGTTCACATTATTTATTTAAAAAAAAAACGCAATTTCAATAATAATTATCAGTACATATGTTTACGCCAAATCGTGGCAACTTAAAACTTGCAAAGGCGCTCGTCTCGGGCGAGGAACCGGTTTGCGGTTTGCGCGGGGGGATTTCGTTTGCGGCCTGCGGCGGTGCCAAGTTAGTCTAGAAGAATGTTTCTCCGCGACGGCCGTGTAGGTTAGTATCGTTACATCGCATTAAGACTGCCTCCTTTGTGTTGTCTTATTTCGTCATATAAGTGACAACGAGGCTTTCCTTGAGTTTGAGTTATTAATTAACTTCGATTGCCATTAATTTGCGTCGACGAGTGGCATTTGTAAATCGAATTAAATAGCGAACAAAGTAATTTTGCTTGTCGTTTGGAACGCTAAACTTTGTGACCCGGGTGGAGATCGCGTTCGATTATGGTTTGTGCTAAGTGACGTTAAACTTGAGTTCAGATAGCGGTGAACGCCCATTGAAGTGATTGCGCCTTGTGGAGCGGGGCAAAGCATGTGGTTCTGCTGAGCGATTACATCGGTGACGTCAGGTTACATTACACACCTTCCTACACCACTCACACCTAACATTTACTTACCCCTGAGGGTATCTTGTGGTCGACGCTACCTCCGGAACTCGATAAGTTTGTGTTTGCTTATACAGCCATTATAAATTAATTATCCATAGGCCATTGGGCCCGGACCCTCGGGTTGCCCGTCGAGTTGGATTACCTCTGGTCTCCACCCGAAGAGTGCGATAGGGACAACTGCAGCTCAAAACGATTTACCCTATAAAACTCATGACCGATCGTCGTTTCGTATTCCCCTATTTTCTCCTCGAAAACTAAGCCAATTAAATTATTTTTGGTATCAAAATTTAAAGGAAAATAAATCTATGCTTTTTTTTATAGATTAGGGTGACAAACGAGCACACAGTCCATCTGATGGTAAGTGCAACCACTGCCATGATCGGTCATGAGTTGTTGCGGTCCATGGACATCTACATCTATCCTCCATTACAAATCAAAATGCAGATGCGTCGTCAACCGTGAGGACTGAGATAGAATGCCTCGTTTCCAGTAAAAAGGGTCTCCGGTTCTCTACACTCACCATACGAAATACAGCAGCATTAAGCTACTATTTCACGCTGGTATTCTGTGAGAATTCTTCTATCATTTGCTTTTATCTTAAAACTTTTCAAGTTTCTTTGGTAGTCGTACGTCGTACTGATTACGGAGGTAAAAACGGGGCATTTTTTTTGTTTTTGGAAAGTCATATTTATTTATGTAATAATTTTTGGAAAAAAAGGAAATGACAGGGGCATGCCTTCAACAGATCTAGATTTTTATAAACAAAAACGATTACTCAAGAGGTATTATGCAGGAAGAAAATAGGGGAATACATTTGTATGGAAAAAATGCAGCGCATCTACCCTCTTAAATCTAGAAATTAATAAATTGCCAAGATGATCCTAATCCTAGACATAACATAGATAATTTATTTCTATCTTATAAGCAATTACAATTATGTAGTTAAAACTGCACATAATTTCTTAAATTTGACTTTCAAAGTGCTTTGTAAAGCCAAATTTGAGTTAAAATATTTGACTATGACTTTGAAGTTATACATATTTAAAAAAAAAATTATAAGCGTCAGAGTTATTTCTTGGAATGATAATTCATACATTTTTTGTTCGATAAAAATAAAATAGATTGTGCTTATTTTTTAACTGTGAAAAAATATTTTTATAAAGTCCTGGTACTTACTGTACAAGGTTTCGGTACAAGTTTAATGAGTGTTTAAAGGATAAACCAAATATTTTTAAAAAAAATTCAATATCTTTTGGGGCTTAGCTTGAAATATTAGTTCAACTTAGTTTTAATATTTTTATTATTATCAACCATATTTTACCCGCCTCCCTCTTTATACATGAAGGACTTACACAAAAAAAATGCAGTTCCATAAAAGCTGACTTCAGAAAATGATGAATGTGGTATGCAAGTTGAAAGATAATATAGATACCTGATGATGTTGACTGTTCTGGCACGCTCAAAATTTCTTCAATAGGTTTGCTTTTGATATCTGCAGATTTTTTTGAAACTATAACTAAAACAAAATAATATGATTTAGTTTGAAATTACTACTGAGAACTTTAAAACCGCAGTTATGATATATAAAAATAGGCCAAGTATTTGTAGTGACATGCATAAAGTATAATTCCACTGTGCAGTTTATACTAGCGTTAGCAATCATTTAAATAATGTTAGCATTACAGCACAATAAGTATGCAGTTGAACATATGCCTCCTCCACATATTGCCTCATAGGGGAGATATTTGCCATAGTGGCCATGCTTGACAATTACTACAGTTTTATTTCATATTTAGTTATTATTAAGTTGAAGCTGCTGCCTATCTCCTGATTTATTTCCCTCCGTCGCATCTCATGATATGGGGTAGTGGATATTCTGACACTACCGCTTCACAGTGATAGCCCAGTTTAAAGACAGTCTAACAGTTGCAAAACGTCTTTGATGACATGTGATGCCACCGCTCATGTAAGAAATTACCTGGGCGATGTATGCTAGTTGTCACGAAATTGGAAATAAAAGAATTTTGAATATTATAATACTCATTATCATTTATTAACATTATATGCATACTTATGAGTTAAAAACATTTATTGAAAAAGATCTTTTTTATTACTATGTAAAAAATGTATTTACAAGCTTTGCACAAGTACATAAGTTATCCAAATGTTGGGCTATTTTTAAACTGTGAAAATAGCACATTCGCTGCCTGTCATCCATTCTCAACAATAATTTAAATAGCTGTAAATAATTAATTTTAAAACAGCAGTCAGGGAGGGTTGAATATTTATGAATACTTAAGATAATGCTAAAAATTGGTTTAACGGAACATCAGTATATCATCAAAGCGTCATCTTCCTGTCAGCAAGGAGCGCCATATGCATGTGAGGTGGACATTTGGAGCATATCTTTTTTACCCTCTTACACTCAATAGTGTAAAATTAGATAAAACTTTATTCTAATTAATTTATGAATGGATCATGATAGAAATTACTGCTATTTAAATACCTACTTATTTAGGCATATTTTGCAAAGACTATTGCTATCATTAGTAAAATATGTCCTAAGTTTATTATGTAATATATTAAGACAAACCTGGCATATTCAAAGTTGGCACAGCTATGTTACTTATTCTGTTATTTCTACATTGGAATTTTTCCTCAAAATGTGAGTGACAAACACGACGATACTTGAATATGTGCATTGTTTCTAGGCCTAATATATCACCGCCAACTGCATAAAGCCAGTCCCTAAATCGTTGACTATCCTTTTCTGGGTTTGGAAAAACATGTAAGACACGATGCATGCCTAAAATAATGAAAAAGATACACTTAAAATTAGACATACTTAGTATATAATCGAAGGCAATGACAAACATTATAAGAAAGCTCCTGATAGTTGTTTAGAGATGTGGTGATATCTTGTCAGCCTCCAGCACAGATGCAGAATAGCCAGCCTCTCTGTTTTCTATAGAATGCATTTCGGAGATTGTCCACAGAAATTATATGCTTTAATTACTCTCTCCCCTTACCACCATTGCACAATCAGGCAGTCAGTGGGTCTCACCCATTATTTTTTCAATATTCCACATATTTATCCAAACTGTTTAGGTAAAACCATAGACTTCCAGTACTTGCATATGGAGGTGGGGCAGGGGAGGGGTTGGGTTCAGAAGAAGCCTACCCTACCCTTCTCCCCTTCCAGAAAAGTACAGTTTAGAGTAATGATTGTTTTGTAAAATCTTAAACTCACTTTTTTACACAGAAATATTGACCCAAAATTACTTCTCGAATGTCTTCGGCACTGCAGGTATTGCAACCCCTTCACCAGGTCAGACAAGACAATATGAAGTTGTGGTATGTCGCTTCAGTTTTAATACAGATTCTACCTATCTTATTTATAAAGTCCAGTTGCGCTACAGTATAACCAACAAGAAGAAATAACAAATGTAAACAAAACCAATGCAAGGTTATTAGGAATAGCAGGGGTGCGTAACTTTTTGATAGTTAGATTATATATTTAAGTAGAAAATATAGGTTGTAAAAAATGTCTAGCAAACCAAAGAAATACTTTTTATAAATTTTGTTATAATTTGAATTATTGTATAATGTAGATTTCACTTCACTTAATAATGCCTTAAATTTTTCAAATTTAAAGGTAGTATTGTTTCTAGCTATGTACCCCTTAACATCAGCCCATTTGATAAAAAGCACTAAAAAATAATTATCAACAAAATAAAATAACAATGATTAAATAAACAACAAAAATAACAAAAATTTTAACAAATAACTTGTATCACCATGAGCATGTTCCGAAACGTGATGAATCACTATTATTACTAAAATGGCCTTTACAATGTTGGCGAACCCATCTTGACCCTGAGATGTTTTTGCCGGGAAAATGAGACATTATAACAAATACACAAGATGGAAAGAGATAGATAATAGATTGTCAACTCCACAGTTGTTCTTAAGGTAAATGACCTTTCGTATCGCTGCTAGTTGGCTGTTACCATAGACTCTACTATGACAATGTTAAATAAATTGTTATATTTTTGTTTTTTGAAGAACCTCTTGACTGCTCTCCACTGAGACTCAATTTGTTGCATATGAGTCCCATCTTCAACCACAAACGGAAAGTCTGGGTCCAAGTGAATAACTTTATGGGTGTACCCATGTTAAAAAAAACAAACATATTTGCATTTCGTTACATGCAATTTCTGGCGAAATTTATTTTTAGCGTAATTAATTTCCGACATCCTAAAACAGTGAAAAAGGTCCAAGCCTGCTAAACTGAAAACATAAGAAAAATCAAGTACCGGACGTCTATAAACAACCCGCAGTTTGCTTCATCTTTCGTAATGCGTATAGAAAAAGATTGGAATAAGCCGGCAGATTCTGATGTCTGTCTGTTGTTGTATGTCTTCCAGGCAAGAGTGAACAGGCTTTAGATACGCTAATACAGTGTAATTTACCATCTAGGGCGTCATCACCACTTACCACTAGGTGGGATTGTGGTCAAGCGCTGGCATCTGGTATAAAATAAGTAAAATAAAACTTACCTCCGCTCTCCTTACATCGTGGAACACAGCAACGCTTATCTGACATATTTATTATTAAGGCTATTTAACCACGGAGAGAAAAAATATCACAAACATGCACTGTGAAGTCCAGTGAAGTCCTATGTCAAGAATAAAAACAAATCCTTGAAAATAGTTTACGTGATCAAGTAATAATTATATTAGCCGGAGGAAAATTAACTAAACGGAGATAACATGAAATAAAATCAATTTGAGTTAACGCAACGAAATATCAGGAAATACTAGCAAAACAAACAACAAGAAAACAAGAATTAAACGGCGAAAAGCGGGAACAAACAACAAACCTTTTAAATTCTTTTGCATAGATAACAACATAGATTACTGCCTATATACTAGAGATAGATAATTAATGATAGATAAATAAATATGTAGCAAGCTATTCTCTTGTATGATACACAGTAATCACCAGTAATCACAGAGTACCTTTGTGATAGATAAATAAATATGTAGCAAGCTGACCTTTGTATAAACTGAAAGGGACAGTAATCTATGTTTTAAATTTTGGAACAAAAATCAAAAACAAATGAGAATGAAAAGTTGAGATGTGAGCACAGAACAGAACCATAGATGAATCGAGATGAATAGATATTTATAAATACAATGGATGCGTTTGGCAGAAAAAAGCGCTAGCAAGCGCTTATAAGCGCTAAAATAGTTTTCGGCCAGGACACGATTGCTACTTCAGTAGCGCTGACACAATCCGCCATTTTGCTTATTTAATTTGTTTGTTTTGAAGTAGAGTTTATAAGTTGTTTTGTGCAATATTAGTTTTAAGTAATATAATGACATGAATAAACATATACATGCTATTAAAAACTCATGATTGGTAAGTTTTTAGTATGAATAATTTATAAACATATATTTAAATTAGGTTAGATTCCCCGGTTAAAACTAACATCGTGTCCTGGAGGAAAATAGCTACTTACGATTTGACAGCGCTTACCGCTTACGATCGCCATTTTGCTTACTTTGTGATAGATGATAGATATGTAATAATCATGGAGGTTATATATATATATATGTATCCTATACCTTTAAACGAGCAATTCTTGTATATATATTATAATCGGAATCTCGGAAACGGCTCCAACGATTTCCATAAAATTTTGTGTACAGGGAGTTTCGGGGGCAATAAATCGATCTAGCTAGGATTTATTTTTAGAAAATGTCTTTTTGTCCGTGTTTTTAGGCAATGAAAAACTGTTTTTATTATATACTTATACATTACACGTTACTTACATAAACAAAATATCACCTATAAATAAAATATTACAAAGCGGAATAACTAATAAGAGTAGCAACGTCGCACTATACAAAGGAATTGCGTAGGTGGCACAAGTCGCGGGCTCGAACTCATTGGTGGGCGCGGCCAAAAAGCATTTGTTTCACCTGGCATCGTGCTACTCGTACTAAATTATTAGGCGCTGCGTTATCGCTTTATACTATACCTCTATGGCTCTATAGATACCTAATATAGATTGCTTATTTTATTATGTTTAGTTTTCCCCGGGTGGTCATGCAGCGATCACTCAAGAGTTCACGACGCCGAAGTATGAACTGGAACAGTCATCGCAGTTTATATCCGTACTAGCTGTTGTCAGCGGCTTCAAACGCGTGAACTCGAAAATTATCCCACAGGAACGAAATACCTGAATAAACGGTATCAAATGTGTTATTCCAGACTAGGTATAACCTATCTCTGAGCTAAATATCATCCAGATCCCTTCAGCTGTTCTGGCGTGATTGAGTAACATACATCTATCCATCCAAACTTTCGCATTTATAATATTTAGATAATAATTGTAATTAGTTCTGCCTACCTATAAATTGTTTTCAAAAATACTTACCTGTCTTTTTACTTTTTTTATATACACACAATATCACTAGATGTAAACACATGTTTTTATCAAGACAAGTGACCCGTCAAGACTGTTTCCTTAGTACCGACGTACTTAGGCAGGTAGGTAGGCAGTTTACATTTTAGTGTCCACGACGCAGCGACAGTTTGTCAAATTTTGTTGTATAGTAGGTTATGGGTATTTAGGTAATAACAGTAGGTAGGTACCTATCCACCGAACCGTCAACGCCGCGCAAGTGATTCTCGTCCCACCTCTACTCGAGACTGTCGCAACAAAAACGATTACTACTGAAAAACTAATATAGGTACCTACCTAACATTCAAATAAAAATATCCTCAAAAAGCTCAACGAATTCACAATTTAATTTTGTTAAAAGAAAATTGGTCAAATAAAAAATAAAGGATGAAAATAAAGCATATGGGAATATAAAAATAAATCGTATTTATTTTTTATTTCGAGTTTTATAAGAAAAGTATAATATTTACTGGAGACAATTATTTTATTATTATAATAGTACATGATATTCCCTTTAAAATGACACCAATATGAATAATATCTTATATATCTACAAATAAATAAAATTGAAGTGTCTGTTTGTAATGTTAAAACAACAGCTTTTTATTAAATGCATATGAAAGTACTAGTAACAAAAACACAATTTTTTAAATTTTTATCTGTCTGTCGGTCTGTCTGTCTGTTTGTTCCAGCTAATCTCCGAAACAGCTGGATCTATTTTGACGGGACTTTCACTGGCAGATAGCTGATGATATAAGGAATAACTTGAACTACTTTTGTTTTAGAAAAAGAATTAGGGTTCCGCGCAAAAAAATTAAAACCCATGAAATCCATATTCCACGCGGGCGAGATCGCGGGGAACAACTAGTACTCAATATAGATAAATGTATACTTATTTTTATTTATTTATTATTTTAATAAATAAATAAAAATAAGTATTAATAATTTCTAGACACATCTCAACAGATATTTCGTTAATAAATTGCTATCAATACTGAAACATTCTTTTATATTTAGCATCCATTTAACACAAAAAACTGATAAGAATACTTTTTAAACAACATATAATCAATAAACGATAATCGCGTATAGTGAATTTCGAGGTAAATTATTATATGTAAACGTTTTTGAATCGTCGTAATGATACATATTTCCAAAAGAAAATATCTTCACAATTAATTTGATGTAAAATAACATTAGAAATAACGTATAAAAACGGAGAAATTATCAAATTTTTGATCGAGTTCCTAACCAGTACACAAACAAAAATGGCGAATAGTAATTTTCACATTTTTTTAGAAATAACGTATAAAAACAGAAAAATGATCAAATTTTTGATCGAGTTCCTAACCAGTACACAAACAAAAATGGCGAAATGTCATTTTCACATTTTTTTTCTATATAGTTATTTGTTACAGAGTACACAGATAAAATTCACTCTCATAGATGACAAATTTCAAACACCACAATCTCTAATTTTTTACTCTGCTATCTTCAGCGCTGTACACGAACGGAACGATGTCGTTGAGAGCCGTGGTTGCTCACATGGTTAGCGCTCGTTATAAGTATCACAGTACGGGAGCAACCCGGGTTCGATCCCCACTGGCACCAATGAAATTGTTGCGTGCTGATTTAGCTATCAGTTGGAAAGTCTGTTTTTCTGGGCCGTTTTGTTTTGTTACACTGACATCTCGCAAGTCACCTAGGGACCTAGGAGGTTGTCGGTTGCTTATTTTTTATTTTTCCTTAAAATTTTCGTCGGTAAAATAATATATTTATAAAAGTAAAAAAAGTAAAGTTACAGCCTATATACGTCCCACTGCTGGGCACAGGCCTCCTCTAATTTCTGAGAGGGTTTTAAGGCAAGGAAATGTCCGCCACGCTGCCTCAATGCGTGTTGACGAACTTCACATGTCTTCGAAATATATATTTTTTAATTTCTCAGACATGCAGACCCGAGTTCGATCCCCGCCGGCACCAATAAAATTGTTAATTGCAATTGTGCTGATTTACTACGTGCTCGGCGGTGAAGGAAAACATATTGAGGAAACCTGCACGTCTGAGAATATAATTATAATCGAATGTAAATCAAATTGACATAGGTAAGTACAGATAAAATTAGCGGAACATTAATAAAATTTTGAGATCGTTTTTTCTTCAAAATTTTATTTATATTCCGCTATTTTTGTCTGTGCTTATATCAATTTGTTGTTTTTTTACATTCGATCTCTAAATTGTAGTTTGCGAGGGTAACGGGGATCTATCAGCTCCGGCAAAATACATTTCTGATAAAACCTATCTAATTTTAAAATTTTGTCTGCCGTCCAAAACGCATCATCTCTTTCAATAATATCAATTTCTATGCCAAACAGAGTAGTATCGAAATCCAAAGTTCAAGCAGGGGTCAATGTAGCGTAGTAATTTAGAGCGCAGGTATAGCTATAGTCATACGAACGTCACAGGCCGCAGCTGACTGAGTCGAATAAAACTAGAATAAGCGCGCGTCACCGCGCATGCATGTGTGTGTAAGTGTCGTCCTCCCGCACCGCACCGGGGGAAACATTATTCAGTGAGATGCACGATAATTCATATAAACACGCGCGCGTAAAAAAATACGAAAAGGCCTTTGGAAGAAGGGGTTTTATGAAAAAACCACTGCATAAATCAATTACAAATAAAATTTATTGAATTCTTCGATAATTGAGCTGTGTCGGTACCGACTTTATCTTGGAAATTTTATACTGCTTTTATTACTAATTTACGCCCAAAGTTGTGTTAAAATTGGCAATAAAAACGAATCTTTGATAGCTCGTAACTTTTTAGTGACTTTTTATTTTACTATTATGTTTCCGTACAGACAAAATTAATAATGAGACAAAACGATATCATGTTTAACTGTCACTTGTATGTACTGTTGATGTACACTGTCAAACAGCGGAGTAAAACCCCTCCGAAATTTCTATGGAAATAATGTCGACTAGTGTCACCTTAAGCAGGATAATGAATTAAAAACTATGTATATTACGGGGATTCTGGATAATTTGTAATATGGAAGGGAGTCCTGATTGGTTTCGCTCCGTCTGGCAATATACGAATATTTGTATATCGATATATGGTAAATTTTCAAAGAAAT